TGTGAAAAAAAATCTGATTTAATCACAGCTGGTAGAATATGTTCCTGTTATTTACTAAAGATCTGTGTTTTACAGTTGTGACTCTATATTCTACACTGGGGAAGGAAGCTGTTTTACATGGAGTCAATGAATCAGAAGTTTCCCATATCATCGTCAGCACAGTACTAACATCTAAACTCAAAGTAAGTCTACTAGTACGGAATCATGCAGAACAAATTTACCCCCCTCCCCCAACCCCTTCTTCAACAAACAGACACATAATAACTACAATAATTGTTCTTTATTTATTTGCCATACCACTCATTTCCAATCAAAGCTCATATTAACTCAGTAGTCTCGTAAAGCTGACTACAAATTTAGTGAATGTTAATCAATGGACATTCACTAGAAAATATCAATGTCTGTTTATTGTTTGTTAAGCAGACACCTACAGTATTGATGTTTTATTAAAAGACTCCTTGGTTCATTTTGTAGGATATCATAAAGAAGATGCCTAATGTCACCCACATCATATATATAGGTGATGGGAAATCCCCAAAGAAGTCAGATTTCCCTGAGTCAATACAGCTGAAGTCGATGGAGGAGGTGGAGGTCGTGGGAGCTCAGATAGATAACTGTACGGGGAACTCTGATGTTACATGTAGAATATCAGGAAATCCCCTCATTTAATACACTCCAAACATCTCTAAATCATTAAGGGCATTACTATGGCCATGAAAGTTAACAATTATAAAATTAATTCTCTTTATGAAAAACAAATATCTATGCATTGTTTATATATGTTGCTTGAGATACTACAGGAGAAATAGTTACATGTTTATTCTTTCTCAATATGAAGTCACGTTATGTTTATTTCTATAGTACGTGTTCCTGTGACCAAGCCTAAGCCAGAAGATCTAGCTGTAATTATGTACACCAGTGGGTCAACAGGTGTTCCCAAAGGTATGAGGCAGTTTGTTTTATGATATACAAAAAGTACAGATATCATTATCACATTTGAAATCGTACTTTGTATCTCATTTGTTTGGAATGAGCATTGTTAAAACCACTGTAATAAGACAGTAATAAGTATAGGTATCAATTATGTCAAATTCACTTGCTGGGGTAGTATGAAAGTTGAGTTTATAATAAATGGAAACCAAGAGACAGAAAATTCATTTTAAATGAAAGGATATACAGAATGCAAGAGCTGCAGAAAATCAAAAGTTTTCCACACTAACCCAAAAAGAGCCTTTTTGTTAGGGGTGGGACGATACACAGATCTTGCGATAGGTATCGATATATTGGCAGGATACATTTGATATTTTGATACATTATAAAACTATTTTTAAAAATCAGTATTTTATTTCATTTCTTGTCTTGTCATTAAATCAATATGATAAATAAAAGAATAAGTATTTTATTTCATTTTTCGCCTTAACATTAAATCAACAAATTATTTTATATAAAATCATGTGTGCTTTGAAATTAATACTTGAAGTTTATCAATATCATTCACTAAAACTTTATAAAAACAATAATACATGTACATATTATTATTACAAATTACTTTTAAGAAGTTGTTTACAAATATTTGAGTAGTTCATCCGAGAACACTGACTAAAATTCATTTAAAAACATCACATTTACATTTTTATTAATTGCTGAAAGTCTGTAGCAAAGCTGTGATTACAAAAAAAAAAAAACGAGATGGACTAACAATTAATAATATTAAATGCTCTGGAAACGATGCTTTCTGTGTATAGCACGCATTACATACTGAACTTTTCTTGTCCAGGCTGCTTAAAAGTGAAAACATTTTATCCCTAAACAACGACTTATTAGTTTTAAAGTGTGTTTTCAATAATCAACATAATCTTTTCGCTTCGTACAAGCCGCCATTTCTTCGAAGGACATGTACTTTCATTTTCAATTTGGATAGGTCGTTCATGTATCGTTTTGTACCGATATTTGAATGCTTGTATCGTAAACCGTATCTTAGAGGAAAATATCGATATGTATCGGTGTATCGGTATATCGTCCCACCCCTACTTTTTGTTGTGAAGAATATTGAAAACATGTATTGATTTTTGCTGCTAAGCTCTATCTGTCAAGAGCTTTGATTTGGAGTAGTGAAGTATTAGCTTTCTATCAATCTGTATGTATTTGTCAAGACAATTGCCAGTAATTACAATTCTAATTTGTGGAACATGGAACTAGTTGACTAACTTGTAGGTACTAGTACTTTTCTGCCAGTGACTTTGAACTTGTTCAAATAACCCAATTGAGGTTATGCCCCATGCAATATTTTTCTTGGTAAAAGTATGGACGTGATTTGATTGCAAAGATAGAAAGACAGACAGACAGACAAACAAGGTGTTTCTGTTGTACCCCTTATAAATAAGAAAATATAAAAAATCAGAGACATTTATTTGGGCTAAACTCTTATAGAAGTACTGTACTCTTCTAAAAAAAATTACAGGTCATGAACTACATGTAGCTTGACAATTGTTGAAGCATGTACAACTAGACACTTTGGTTCCTCCTAGTCAACAATTGTTGAATCACCAGTTAAACAAAACAATATAACATTTAAAAATTCTGTGTACATAGATTATAAATTGGTCATGTTTTTTATTCAGGTGTGTTAATTTCACATAAGAACCTCATGTCAGGAATGGCAGGGCAGTGTCAGAAGATAGTAGGTCTCGGGTAGGTATCAGGACATTTTGTAGGTCTTGGGTAGGCTTGCTAAGTATTTTATGATTTACTGTATATTGATAATGTAAATTGCTAGGCACCATTATATGTAATTCTGGTAATTATTAGTTTAAAAAATGTATATTTACTGTTTATATCCTCTCAAATAACATTTCAGACCTAAAGATACATATGTTGGTTATCTCCCTTTGGCTCATGTACTAGAACTAAGTGCAGGTAAGAATTCTAATCATGGGAAAAATGTAAACTTTTGTTGAGATTTTCTGGAGTTTGCCACCCATTACACATAAATCATGTAAAATTAATTGTTCATACAGAGATTAGCTGTCTGGCTCATGGTGCTTGTATTGGGTTTTCATCACCTTTGACCCTAACAGATAATGTGAGTACTAAAAATTTTGGCGAATTGATCCATAAATTTAAAATTTAAGCAGCAAACATAATATAAGATGTGAATGTAATCCTTTAAATACTTAATCTTTGATGCAATTCAATTTTCTTTCCCTATCTAGTCCAGTAAAATAAAGAAAGGCAGTAAGGGTGACCTATCTGTTCTGAAGCCTACTCTAATGGCAGCTGTCCCGGTAAGTGATCCAAGACTATTGCAGATCTATTTACATGTATATACTTATACAATTGTCACATATGTCAGATGAAGCAAAACAGTAAATAGTGCAAGGATATATTTTCTAATATGTCCACTGATTTTAATAAAATTAAATTTAAAATTTGTGGATATAAATCATTTTGAATGTAAATGCTTTCAGATGATAATGGACAGGTTATACAAAGGAGTGTGGGAGAAGGTGAACATGGGAGGATCATTCAGCAGAGCGTTGTTTGAGTGGGGCTATGACTACAAGAAGAAGAGGATAGAGAAAGGCTACACCACACCTCTACTGGACAAGTAAGTTCTCCAAGTCTGCTTCATTTTTATTACACCACACCTATACTGCCTATACTAGACAATTAAACATCTCCTCATCTTCCTCATTGTGTTACACTCCATCTATACCAGACAAGTTAGTCTCCCCCTTTGTCTTCATTTTGTGAACTATAAATGTATAAATATTTTGGTATTTCTGATCAATTTGTATAAAATTTCTTGTGTTTCATATGTTTAATTTGTGAAAATTTTGTGAGATGTTAAAAGTTCAATAAAATATTGGAACTATAGTCTTAGAACAGTTATATTAGTCTTAGAACAGTAGCTTTACTATCAATGGAATATACTGTGTATACACAATTTGAATATTACATGTAAGTTACTACTTCTTCCTGCACAGGTACATTTTCTCCAAGGTGTACTCAGTCCTGGGAGGGCGGGTCAGAATGATGCTGAGTGGGGGTGCCCCACTGTCAGAGAAAACCCAGAGATTTATGAACATCTGCTTCTGCTGCCCAGTTCTACAGGGTTATGGACTGACAGAAACCTGTGGGGCAGGGACCATTCAAGAAGGTAAGATGGATTGTAGATGATTACTACATGTATGCTCAACTTCAAAGAAGTGAGGGCATATTGTTTTGCTGCTGTTGGTCTAACTGTCTGTTGGTCCACCATCAGTTTCCATTCATTTTCTTCACAAAGATTGCACATACTGAAATGAAATTTGGTATACAGATTTATCATGGGAATATCTATAGGGCAAGTTCTGTTTTGGGTTTGATCAAGCAATTTTTGACAGAGTTATGCCCCTGGATTTGGAACAATTCCAATTACATGTATTTGCAGTTTCCATTCATTTTCTTTGCAGAGTTGCAAATACTGAAATGAAATTTGGTATACAGATTTATCAGATGAATATCTAGGTCAAGTTCTGCTTAGGGTATGATTTATCATAAGAATATCTAGGTCGTGTTCTGTTTTGGGTATGATTAAGCAATTTTTGACAGAGTTAATCTCCCTTGGACTTCAAAAAAATTTTGAGCATTTGACAAAAGCAATGAGTAAAGTTTACATGTATATCTGCACGTTTACAGTGCATTGTAAACTGAGTACATGTAGAGTGGGGAGATTCTTGGAATAATGTGCAGTTCATGAAACTTAATCTGTCACTTAAAAATTTTTAAGACTTGAATAAAACAGAAAATTTTATAATAGGAATATTGTTATATTTAATTTGATATTTAGAAATAATATTAATACATGTATGTTTTTTTTTTAAGTTGATGATTTGTCGACCGGGAGAGTAGGTGCTCCTCTGATCTGTTGTGAGATCCGCCTACGAGATTGGCCAGAAGGTAATAGACAACCTGTCAATCAACATAATGTGCTGTAAATCTGATTCAGAATTTCCTCAATGAATTGATCGATCAATGCGTAGAATGTCTCTTTGATCAGCAAGTGATATCTACTTTAAGTCTTTCTTAGTCCACAGCAAATTAAAAGAAAAGTCTAAACTATCAGAGGAAATGTTGTAAATTCACAATAAGCTGCTCTGTAACTTCTGTAAACATTCTTTTTTTTCAAGGGGTCATAATTCCACAAAATTTCCTGTTTAATCTGCAGGAAGAAAAATCTGCATATTTCATGGATATTTTATTATAGTGTAGATTAATTCCTAGCAAAAAGTATGTCAACAGTAACTGAGAATTTTTGTTTTACCAGGAAACTATACCTCAAAGGACAAGCCCCACCCACGGGGAGAAATATTGGTAGGTGGTGGTAATATAGTGCAAGGTTATCACAAGATGCCAGAAAAGACAAAGGAGGATTTCACCGATATTGATGGAACTTGGTACTTCTGTTCAGGAGACATTGGACAAATGGACCCTGATGGTTGTCTCAGGGTCATTGGTAGGTATCAGTTCAAATTACCAGTAATACACATTTTTAGCTCACCTGAGCCGAAGGCTCAAGTGAGCTTTTCTGATCACATTTTGTCCGGTGTCCGTCTGTCTAGCTGTCTGTCTGTCCATAAACTTTTCACATTTTCGACTTCTCACAAACCGCTGGGCCAATTTCAACCAAACTTGCCACAAAGCATCCTTGGGTGAAGGAAATTCAAGTTTGTTCAAATGAAGGGCTAAGCCCTCATTCAAGGGGAGATAATTGGGAATTAATGAAAATTTAGTGGCATGTTTTAAAAATCTTCTTCTCAAGAACCACTGTGCCAGGAAAGATAAAACTTAAGGGAAAACATTCTCAGGTAGTGTAGATTCAAATTTGTTCAAATCATGACCCTCGGGGGTAGGGCGGGGCCACAATTGCCGACCAAAGTTCTACATAGAAATATATAGGAAAATTCTTTAAAAATCTTTTTCTCAAGAATAACAAAGCCATAATTGATCATATTTATATGGAAGCATCCTCAGGTAGTGTAGATTCAAGTTTGTTCAAATCATGACCCCCAGGAGTCCGGGGGGGGGGGGGGGTCAAAATGGCCGACCAAAGTTTTACATAGAAATATATAGGAAAATTCTTTAAAAATCTTCTTCTCAAGAATAACAAAGCCATAATTGATCGTAATTATATGGAAGCATCCTCAGGAAGTGTAGATTCAAGTTTGTACAAATCATGACCCCCGGGGGTAGGGCGAGGCCACAATTGCCGACCAAAGTTTTACATAGAAATATTTAGGAAAATTCTTTAAAAATCTTCTTTTCAAGAATAGCAAAGCCATAATTGATCATATTTATATGGAAGAATCCTCAGGTTGTGTAGATTCAAGTTTATTCAAATCATGACCCCCGGGGGTAGGGCGAGGCCACAATTGCCCACCAAAGTTTTACATAGAAATATTTAGGAAAATTCTTTAAAAATCTTCTTCTCAAGAATAGCAAAGCCATAATTGATCATATTTATATGGAAGAATCCTCAGGTTGTGTAGATTCAAGTTTATTCAAATCATGACCCCCGGGGGTAGGGCGAGGCCACAATTGCCGACCAAAGTTTTACATAGAAATATACACGAAAATCTTTAAAAAATTTTCTTCTCAAGAATAGCAAAGCCATAATTGATCATATTTATATGGAAGAATCCTCAGGTTGTGTAGATTCAAGTTTATTCAAATCATGACCCTTGGGGGTAGGGCGGGGCAACCATGGCCGATCAAAGTTTTACATAGACATATATAAGAAAATTCTTTTAAAATCATCTTCTCAAGAACAGCAAACTCCTGATTGGTACTTTTGGATTTAGACTTTTCAATAATAAACCAATTTCTACTTATTCCGAGCCACAGTACTCAGGTGAGCGATGTGGCCCATGGGCCTCTTGTTAGAAGTTGCATCTATAAATGAAGACTTACTTGTACATGGATTTTCATGGTAATTAAGACCACAAGGTGTTTATTTCTTTAAATCATTTGTAAAATCATAGAGTAAAAGAAAAAATTTACGTCACTATGAAATATTTTGCCATGTCTCTACAATTATTTGATTACATTGACACTAAATTAGAAATTCTTGTAAAATAAATCTTTAAAATTTCATGGAAAAATGTACCCTGGTACTGTAAACCAAATTATATTTGCGACGACTTTATTTCGCGATTTACCAGGGATAAATAAGTTCGTGACGATTTATTTTTGCGATCAAGCCTTTCTGGATCTGTTGTGAATAAACACATACACTTTAAGGACCGGTTTGCGGTGAGAAATATTCGCGATCATGAGGTTCTCGCGAACATCACGAATATTTCTCGCACACGAATAAAAGTTGGTTTACAGTATGTAATTATTGGATTTTAATGAAATTAATATTACTCTCATTATATTTTTACAAATTTTCCCTGACAGATCGCAAGAAAGACCTTGTGAAACTCCAGGGAGGAGAGTATGTGGCTGTTGGACAAGTAGAGACTGTCCTGAAGATGGTGCCAGTGGTAGAACAGATTTATATTCATGCGGACAGTAATCACGAGTTTACACTGGTTTTTATTGTTCCTCATAACAAGCAGTTGGAGGAGATAGCGGAGAAACTCGGGGTCACTGGAGAGTTTGAAGACATCTGTAAGGATAAGAAAGTGGAAAGTGAAGTCCTGAAAAAGCTTACAGAAAGTGGAATTAAAGGTAAAATACACAAAGTGTCACAAAGCTAAAACAATTGGAAATTTTTTGCTTGAAATAGGAAATCTGATTAGAGTTTGTTTATTTATACCAGCTGTCTCGATTGTATTATTTTTGACAAATATAAGCCATGTCAATCACACATGTAAAAAGTATTCAAAGAATTTTCAAATTCATTCAAATGATCAATGTCCTGAAGAGGTAAAAGTTTAAAAGCTTGAAGAATTTATTTTGTGTATTTTTCATTTTTTTAAGCTCACCATAAGGGTTAGCAAACAAGTTTATAGTGAATTTTACAAAGAATTGTTGAGATATATTAAGACTCCAAAGTCCGATGGTGACGCCAAAGTCCGATGGTCTCGCCAAACCCCGATGGTCTGCGCCAAACTCCGATGGCTCGTTGTCTTTACGGACCCCAAAGTCCGATGGTCACGCCAAAGTCCGATGGCTCGTTTCCTATGAGACGCGCGACGCTAAAGTGCGATGGTCTGACAAGCCGAAGTCCGATGGTGCGGAGGAACAATTAACGTTTATGACGTCAATAGTCCGACGTCATGACGTTATTCTGCATTCAAAATCCGTTGATTCAGTATTTGTCTCACATACGTTTTTACTGCTATTGCTTTTTGTTTTCACCCACCAGAGGTATTAGGGTTAGTCCTCGTACATCGTTCGATAGATAAGGGTTAGTCCTTGAACACTAATGTGTTTCTTCGAACCCACCCGAGAGATTTTAGGGTTAGTCCTCGCACACTATTGGATTGATTTAGATTAGTCTTGCACCCACCTATGATAGTTAGGTTAGAGTTGATACTCATTGTTCGACTGATAAGTCTTAGTTTCGCACCTACATCCAGAAGACGAGGTCTTTGTATTCATGATATTTTGTATTTATTTATTAGCATGGCGTGGCATCGCATTTTTTAGGCCTTTCAACTGCCGCTAGGGATCGGTGTTATGAACGATAACTCACTGCTGAAACTTGTTTAGAGCAGGCTCGGGGTATCTTACTGTTTACATGCAAGGCAGTTTTTAGCATTTCCCAAGTGTTTCTTTGCTCTCAGTAGAATCCAGTGGTTTTAAAATTTAGCACCAATGTTAAACTTATTTACTGTATAGTTGCGAACACCGGTTTACTGCATATAATTAAAAGTTTTAATTAAAATAAAAAGTGAAATCTACCCTCCTTCTCAGTTCTAACATAATTAAATTTTTATACTCAGTCGTTCCCCTTCGTGCTTAGTAACACAAATAAGATGATCAATTGTTGCATTTACTTGTAAAAATATATATATTTACACAGGAAGCGAAAAAGCGCGAACACAAAAACATGACATTAAATTTTCTTCTTCAAAATAATCGTCAAAGAGAGTTAAAACTATTGAATATAGTCTGTTCCCCATTCATTTGACCCTGTTATTTCAGGTAGAGTGAAGGCATTCTCTTTCTCTTGGTCAAAACTTTTTGTGTACAAAACAATGTAAGGAACCCTTTTGTGTATATAACAATGCCAATGCTGAAGCAGCCTATATGTTATTCCTATAAACGATAACTCATAAATCGGCACTAAGTTGGTCATTTTTCACACCTGAGTTACCTGTCCTTAAACACAACATCGGAAAAGTCAATTATAAATGATCAAACCTTTTAATGACGTAATTAAAAGTATGCATAAGTTATTATCTTTTTTGATAATTTCATGTACCTATAAATCTATCTATACAATGTTTTTTACCATATGTGCAACTTGAAAAATTAGTTGAAAGGCCTACATTTTTGCGCAGTAGTACTATGTCGTCATAGACGTTAATTGTTTTCTGTGCCATCGGACTTTGGCGTGTCAAACCATCGGGGTTTGGCGCAGACCGTCGGACTTTGGCGTGACCATCGGACTTTGGAGTCCCATCGCACTTTGGAGTCCTACAAATTTATATGAAAAAAATATTGAATGTTCAGAATAAGTGTTATTGAATTTTAAATTTATATATTCTTTGTATTACAGGTGACCTGGAAAGGTTTGCCCTACCGAAGAAATTAAAAATCTGCCCTGAGCCGTGGACTCCCGAGTCAGGACTGGTCACCGATTCCTTCAAAGTCAAACGCAAAAGTTTTGAAGAACATTTCAAAGAGGATATTGAAGAAATGTATAAAAAATAGAAATACCGGGTATATCAATTCATGCCCTCCATCACTTTAGATACAAACATTCTGTCATACCTGTTTATGGTTATTCACATGTGAGTCACATGGGTTTTGGGATACATTATTGCACATGTAGGTTACTCGGGTAGTAGCAAGTCCATGTGTTTTACTTTCACTTACACTTTTAATTTTACTTTAGTCTTTCAATTATATTTTTGTATTAATTTTTTCAAATGACTTCAGGAAAAAAAATTATTTTTTACTTTTTGTTATGGCCATTAAAAGAAAGAAATATGATCAATTTGTGCCCTTCACTTTCTTTATTTACCAGTTCATGCTTTTGATGTGGTTTACATGAGTTTGGGGACACATCATGGTATGTTTGTTGGTAAAAAGTCCCTGATTTACTTTCACATTTCAATTTTACCTCTATTTTTAGTTTTGTTCTTTAGATTAATCTTTTGTATAAAGTTTTTCAGATGACTTCAGGAGTTTTGAGGAATATAGAATTGTAATAGCCAGTAAAGATTTGTAAATATTTTGCTCTTTCTAGAAGCTGTTGTGAAAAACAGGGTATTTTCTATTTCTGTACTACAATATTAACATTTCTTTCCTTCCATTTTATTTTTAAGTAGATTAAATGCTTGCATTTACCTGGTCAGTAGACGTTAAATGTAAACTTTACTTAAGACAAATTGTACAAACATTACACTTATCAAATTTTTGACAAAACATATAATGATTTATATATCACGTAAACCAACTTGTGGTTCAAAATCTAGAATAACTTGCCAATTAGATAGACAATGCATTAAACCTTTTATTTTCTTTTAATGAAAAGGTTTAAATTGGGAGCTATGCTAGTCCATCATTATATATGTACATGTAGTTGGCGCATGCATTAGAAAATCCACATTGAGCAAGATTTTCGTGGTAGTATAGGTACCTGTATATTAAAAAAAATAGCCTACATATGTAGATATGTGATAATGGTATGGGAACTTTATTTGGAAATATCTTAATCTGAATAAATTTAATATAGTTTTATATTTTAATTTGTTTGGATGGTTTCTGAGAATTTTTTTATGTAATAAATTTCTAAAGCATTGTGTGTAAAATGTACATTTTTGTTTATATACATGTTCATATATAAAACATTTATAGTGCCATGACTTTTGGAATGAAAAAATAAATTTTACACTGATGTATAAGTTTACCACATTATGGAGACTTGAATAGTTTCTATTAATAAATCAGCATATACACCAGCATTAACAGTGCTTTTTTTTTTTAAATATGTATATTGTGCCATTATTTCTTTATATATATATATATAATTATTGCAAACCATTGGCCCTGTTATCATCTATGTTTGATAAATAAATGATTTCTTGTTGTGAACTTCATTTATCATTATATTTGTCATGTATATGTGTCCTATATTCTGCATGGTACCTTGTGCATTTAAGTTAGATCTGTACATTAAATAATTTGAGAATGTTGGCATAATGATTATATAAAAATATTTGTATGTTTGAGATTGCTTATATTATAAAAGGTTTTATATGTACTAGTGATCTGAACAATGCTTCCTAATATATATCTATAATATAGAATCTTTAAGGCCAAAAAAAATTAATCAATTGTTTCTCAGGCCAAAAAAATCAAAATTCAATGCGGCAGGCAGGCTTTTTTTTTTTTTTTTTTTTTTGAAGCAGGATTTTTAAGTCTACACTTTTTTTTAAAGTCATTTGTTCAACAAAATGATAAAATCTTCTAATTCTTAAGTTCCGTTCTCTGAAATTAGTTATAATATGTATTCAACCTTAAATAATGTTATTCCAAACATTTATTTACAAGTTAACTTATAAAATACTGTAGATTTAGAAGAAAGATATTGTTTTTCTAATAAAAACGTCTATTTTAGCATTTATGAAAAGGGCAATAACTCGATTTTCTTTTTCAACTTGGAAAAATAGAAAATTGGGTTATTTCCCTTTTCAATATGTCAATAAAATTGATCAATGCGGCCGTTTTTGAACTGATGCGGCGGTGCCTGAGAAACTATTGATTAATTTTTATTGGCCTAATAGCATTGTATTTTATTAATGTTTTGTTTTCCTTGTTTGTTAATCATGATAATTGTTTCTTTAGGAATGATTTTGTATGACTTTACATCAGTGACTATTTCTATAGACAAAGGGCTTTTTATGAAGCAGTTTCTATTGGTCAAATCAGAAATATGGTTGTTACATTTTTTAAGAATAAAAAAAATTGGTAATAAATTGTGAAGCATATGTACATGTATTTGCCTATTTTACACTTCAAGTATGTCTTGTAAGTGCTTTGCTATATTTAAAGAATTAAATGCAAAATTACATGTGTATATCTGCATGTATAATTTGTTTGTGAAAAAAACTTATTTGATCTGAGTTTTACACGTGTGAAAATGATCTTACTAATCTGAAATAGGCCATTCTGTTCATATTGTATTATATGGAGGGTCTAGTGGTTTTGTGTCAGATAATAAAGAGGCTTTGATTGTTATATATGTGTTGGGATTTTTATAGTATAAAACTACAAAGCAGCTAGGATTAAATGGTTTCACAATTTAGATCTATGTTAGTGTTATGATATAGATGCCAGAGAAGGGGATTGGCATTTTTCCTCATCATGGTTTGTTGGGAATGGACCTGCTTCAAAATTTTCAAAACTTTTTAACATAGCATATGTTAATAGAATGCATGTCACATCTATTGCTTCATCATCAATGAAGTTGTAATTATAGAGCTTATAGTTACTTAGCAATGGCCCTGATCCAAATATTTTAACCTTGTCACTCAACAAGATTTTAGGTCAGATGTATCTTTTGAGGTAAATTGTTCCTGATGTACCTATCTTCTCTATTATCATAAGCCACTACATCCAAGAGTTTTCAGAGCAAGTATACAAACAAGTATTTTAATATTTTCATGAAAACAAAGTACCGGTATATGTAAATTTGACATCATGATACACCATAACTTTGCTTCACCATCCTGCATGGTACATTTTATAGATGTCAATGCACAAACCATAGTTTTATACAAACTCATAATCTAGGAGTGCTACCTATACCTAGATACATGCAGTATTTGCTTTCAATTTCTCTAAATTGTCTATTTTCTGATCTTTAACACTGACTGAGCTGCCGTATGAAAGCATGTTTGGTACTCTGTAAACAGTTACTTGCACTTTTCTATAAATGCAACCACTATAATGAACAATACAGCAGAAAAAACAATATTAAAGTTTACGGTGTCCAGGAAACAGAAGACGAGGATATTATAGAGGTCGTGAAATCTGTATTGAAGGAGAAAGGGGATGTAGAGGTTAACGAATGTGACATTGTGGCATGCCACAGGATACCTGGATCCAAGGGTAAAGGACCTAAACCCATTCTCATGAAAATGACAAATAACGACAAAAAGGCCCATATAATGCGAAAGCGGTCAAAAGTGAAGGCAGCCCCCGGTAACATTCGACTAGGCGATGACGTTACCAAGGAGAACGGCGAGTTGATCGCGCGCCTGTTGGACTGTGAGGGTGTTTCATCGGCATGGTACTTCAATGGGTCGGTTTACGGAGAGGTGAAGAAAAAACGAGTGAAGTTTGACATTCTTGATGACATTGCACACAAGGTAAATAAGATCCGGGACTAAAATATCCGTCCGTACCTCAACTGATTTTAGTGCGGTAAAATGTATTTCCGGTGTCATATGTGTTTATTTTTGACATTCCAAACAGTGACTCACTTTATCACGGTAGTCAACTTGTATTTTCGTGGAACTTTTTTTATCGTTGAATATCATTGTCTGATCTTTTTTACTGCTTTTCTCTTCTTTGCTCTATCTTCTCTTCTTTTCTGAATCTCTACATATTTAAATCATGAGTTCACCTCCATCGTTCCGTTGGGTATCTAACAGTTTTTGCACAATAATTATACCAAATGGTTAAAATTATATCCGTAAATTGCCAAGGTTTAGGCGATATTGCAAAACGCAAAGATGTTTTTAATTATTTAAGATCGTTGAAATATAATATTTATTGCTTGCAAGATACACACTTCTCCTGTGATATAGAAAATGAAGTAAGAAATTTGTGGGGATACCAGTGCTTTTTTAGTTCATATACTACAAACTCCAGAGGAGTCGCAATTCTTATTAATAATAACTTTGATTTTAAACCTATTGCAGAAAAGGGTGATATTGATGGAAACTATTTTTTACTTAAAGCATGTATAGAGGGCCATGAAGTATTGTTATGCACTATTTATGGTCCTAATATTGACACACCACTCTTTTATGAAAACATTCAAAATCATATCGATGATATGCATTGTAGTCATATTATCTGGTGTGGGGATTTTAATCTAGTTATAAACCCAGACTTAGATTATTACAATTATAAATCGATTAATAATCCAAAGGCAAGAGACAAGATTTTAGAAATAATAGAAAATTTTTCTTATATTGACCCTTTTCGACAATTACACGAAAATGTTCGTAGATACTCTTGGAGAAGAAAAACTCCATTGAAACAAAGTCATTTAGATTTCTTTTTAATATCTGAGTCACTCTTGTCAGGGTTAGAAAAATGCACTATAGAATCTAGCTACAGATCAGATCACTCCATAATATCACTGTCTATTGCTTTTAATGATTTTAAGAAAGGAAGGGGTTTATGGAAGTTTAATAATTCTTTACTATATGATGAAAATTATTTGGAATGCATTAAAAATGTTATCTTAAATGTTAAAAAACAGTATGCAATTCCAGTATACAATATGGATAACTTAAATAATATTATTGATTCAGATATTTCCTTCACTATAAATGATCAATTATTTCTTGAAACCCTGCTCTTTGAAATAAGGGGAAAAACTATATCCTATGCAACTTACATAAAAAAGAAAAAGGAAAATAAGGAGAAAGAATTGATAGAAAATATCAGGATATTGGAAGAAAATATTTCTGAAAATAATATTGATGAATTATTTAGTAATAAGCAAGAATTAGAAAATATTCGAAAACATAAGCTACAGGGTTCATATATCAGAAGTAGAGCAAAATGGGTGGAGGAAGGTGAAAAACCATCAAAGTACTTTTGTTCATTAGAATCAAGAAACTTTACAAGCAAGATAATACCAAGATTAGAAGATGATAATGGAAATGTTATTTATGACCAAACAGAAATTTTAAGAGAAGCAAAATGTTTTTATGAACAGTTATATAAAAAAAGTACAGATACTACAAATAATGATATATTCAAAGAGTTAAGAAATAAAGAAATTCCTAAGCTTTCATATAAAGAATCAGAATCTATAGAAGGCGAAATTACTATGGAAGAAGCTTCTTCTACACTTTACAAAATGAAATCAAATAAATCCCCTGGCTCAGATGGTTTCTCTGCAGAATTTTTCAAGATGTTTTGGAAATATATTGGGGTTTTTGTAGTCAGATCTATTAATTATGGATATAAGCACAACAGTCTATCTATTACACAAAAACATGGTATCATTACCTTGTTACCAAAAGGTGATAAACCTAGACAATTCTTAAAGAATTGGCGACCTATTACTTTACTAAATACGGTATATAAAATTGCATCTGGATCCATTGCAAACAGAGTAAAATGCTATTTAGATAGAATAATTAATGAAGATCAAACAGGCTTCATCTCTAATAGATATATAGGAGAAAACACCAGGTTAATTTATGACATAATGCATTACACTGAGGATGAAAATATACCTGGATTATTACTACTTATTGACTTTGAAAAAGCCTTTGATACACTTTCATGGAACTTTATACAAGGCGCACTTAACTTTTTTAACTTTGGACCTTCAATCAAGAAGTGGGTATCCCTTTTTAATACAGATATTACATCTGCAATAAACCAAGGTGGTAACCTTTCTGATAGAATTAACATTCAGAGGGGTTGTAGGCAAGGCGATCCTTTGTCACCATATATATTCATTATATGTGCAGAAATTTTAGCAATCCAAATTAGATTAAATAAAAATATTAAAGGTATTTCTATAAACAATACTGAAAAAAAGATTTCTCAGTTAGCGGATGATACATCAATTATTCTTGATGGTAGTAAAACGTCACTCACAGAAACACTGCAAACACTTAAGACATTTTCAGAAATGTCGGGATTACATATTAATTATTCCAAAACTCACATAGTGTGGATAGGCTCAAAAAAGTTTAGTGACGAAATTTTGCTTCCAAATTACAAACTTAACTGGGGAACTACCAGATTTACTCTTCTTGGAATACATTTTGATGTAGAATCTGGATAAAATACTACCATTAAATTATGAACCAAAACTGGTACATATTAAATCAATACTTAAACAATGGGAGAAAAGGTATTTAACTCCCATAGGGAAAATTACTGTTATTAAAACATTAGTTCTACCATTACTAAATCATATTTTAATGTCCATCCCAAATCCTTCTGAATCATTCTGTAAGGAATTGGAAAAAATGTTTTTTTCATTTATATGGAATAATTCAACCCATAGGGTTAAGAAAGAAGTAATTGTAAAAAAATATGAAGAGGGTAACAAAAGATTGTAAACTACAATGGTTCCAATATAGGATTTTAAACAAAATCCTAGCAACAAATTCATTTTTATTCAAAATAAGAAAAAATGACTGTAAATTATGCAGTTTTTGTCATACTGAGGATGAAACAATAGAACACCTTTTATGGGAATGTGATAATACACAATTTTTTCTTGAAGAATTTGTACATTTGTTAGAAGAAAAAACTGGTTTAATGATAAATGTTAAAGAAATCTTTTATTTTAGGATTTATTGAGGAAAATACTGATATTCAAAATGTCATTCTACTTTGGCTAAAATACTATATTTATACTGCCAGGTGCACAAAGAAACATATTAACTTACAAAATGCAATATCACAAATGAAATTTCATTATGAAACACAGAAAATTATCTCTTATAAGAATGGTAAAAAGGAAAAGTTTGATACCCAGTGGAACAGGTGGAATCTTCTATTCTCTTAACTTGAATCTTTACACACTCTCTCTCTCTCTCTCTCTCTCTCTCTCTCTCTCTCAAAATAAAAAAAAAAAAAAAAAAAAAAAAAAAAAAAAAAAAAAAAAAAAAAAAATAAAAAAAAAAAAAAAAAAAAAAAAAAAAAAAAAAAAAAAAAAAAAAAAATTGAAAAAAAAAAAAAAAAAAAAAAAAAAAATAAATGCAACCACACTGCTGCAATACAACATAAAGTGTCTATACAGTCCAGACACTGTCAGTGTTGTTCGCTCATCTGTAACAAGTCAGACTGTGTAAGTTGCTGTCGGTGAACCACAGGTTCTGCCGTCACCCTCTCTAGGTCGTTCAGACGACTTCTGATGTGGTCGATGCGATGATAGGCAAGTAATAAATCCTTCTGTGGGGCGTATGAAGAACCTTCATGAGGCTGTCCTATTTAATTAATTATACATGGAATAAGATTATTGGTATTATATGTATGGTTCATACATACATGTACATGATATATATATATATATATATATATATATATATATATATATATATATATATATATATATATATATATATATATATATATATAATCTAACAAGAATAAATTTTAAAACAACACCATCCAAAATATTTACTTTGGCCATCATCAGAATATACTAAATTTCTGTTTATTTAATCACTTGTATTTTGTTGAAGATTTAAAAGAGATTTAAAATTAGCTAAATTGACAGTATTATTTTCAGCTAAACATTTACATCATTTTAGTTCTTTCACCCTTGCCTCTGAGGTCATGATATGTACAAATAAATTGCTGAAGTCCTATTGCAGCCAAGACTAGCCCAACATTATGTTAATGACTTTGTGAAAGTAAAGATGGGTTAAAACATAGTACCCTCTTGATGCCCTGTCAATACAAGTATTCAATCTGTCTAATTGGTAAATCTCAACAAAATAACAAAGAATATTATATACCTGTTGTAAATTTTAAACAAATTTGTCAAAGAACATGCATATAATATTAATTAAAGAAAAAATATAGAGACAGATAACTCTAATGGAAATAGTATTTTCAGTATGCCATGAATAATTAAAATTCTCTTCAGGAAGAGAATTCAAGACATATGAAAATTCTTTTAAAAATAAAAATTATGACATTATAGTCAACGTAATAGACCAGAAACTGTTTTGTGACCATAGAACAAATCTGTTTCAGAGCAACATATCGACTCAAATGCGAAACGTTCCTATGATGTCAGCCTCTTTCATGCTTACTGTGTACTAAAACTGAAGAAAATTTACCTGTAGAAACTTGTGTTAGGTAGTTGATATGTCCTGTTAACTTCTTCTCTACATCTACTAGGGTTTTGATGAAAGTAGTGGTGTGAGATTCAACATTTTTCATCACTGGTTTGTCTTTCGATAACTCTTGAAGAGCAGATCCTAAATATTAATTAATGAAACACTTGAAATATAACACAGTAAAAATGTGCACACAATTATTACTGTTAACATGAAATACACTAAACTGCTGCTGAAACATAAAATTTAGGACTGTTTCCCGAATTTTTTCTGCACTAAAAAGCCTGTAAAAAGTTTAAACAAATTCGCAACAAATATTTTTTGGACAGCACCTGCACTCTGAATAGCATTGACTATATCACCCTCAACCGCCTCTAGTTGTTTCAATCGCTCAACAGTTGACGATGGTGCTGATGAACTTCCAGCCATTTTTGCACCAAGAAAGAAGTGATTTGTATAGCGATCCCGATTGAAAAATGAAAAAAAAATATTACAGCTTTACGATCAATTGATTTAATTGTTCATTGTATAATGTATTGAAGACAAAATTTTTGGATCTATCTTATTTTTCACATATTTGATGCAGGAAATTGCTTTTAATTTTCATTACCCCCCCCCCTCCTCTTCAGTTTAACGCATGCGCCTTCATTGTCCTACAAACCGGACGTTGATAGACCTCTTTCGTAAACATCCACATTGACTACTGCTAGCCAAGGGTTGTAGAAGTGAATACTTGACGACAAAATGTTGAGAACCTCTGCATTTTTCTCTGCTCTTGGTAGAAGATCAATTCAAGGAAACTTAAGGTACTAAGAATAACTCTTGAAAACTCTTGATTTGATTTTAAAATATGATTGTAGCTCAAAGAAACGTAGTTTGACATCCTCTGGACTTTGGACTCGAACTTACTCATTTCCATAAACTTCCATTTTAGCTATTTATATCTGAATAATTAAAGTTTTTTTCTTGTATTGTTTAGTAGAGTTTGATATATAAGTAATTTGTAGAAAACATATAAAATGCGGAATTTCTAGTATAAGAAAAAAAAAGATACCAAACACTAAAAATATGCAATTATGCAATATATATTTCACTGAATTTAGTGTTTATTTTAAATTTGATTAGATATGCAAGTTCAGCAGCAGCTCAGAAGAAGACAGATGAGGGAAAGGTTTCACCTGGCAAAGCCCAGGTAAAGTTTCTTTGTATTGTAGAACAGTGTGTTGAGACCCTGCCATACTACTATGACAATTTGGGAATATTAGAAAATTGAAAAAAGACAGTTCCAGACATTGGTTAATTCCAAGATGACTTCATTAATTATTTTTAATTGTCATTAAGTAAGTTTTAATAAGGAAAAGGATGCATAATACATCTTATTTCAAGATATACAGTCCCTGAAACGTTCTACTTTCCCATTTTTCCGCTCGCTCACCGTTCCTTCAGCGTGCGTTCACTGTTCGCTCTCCGTTCACAGTATTGCGTTCACCGTTCGCTCTTCGTTCTGTTTACTTTGCGTTCACCTTGCGTTCACCATTCACATATCGTTCAGTCTTCATTGTCATTCGGAATTTCAAAGTGAAAGGACTTATCTTTTTGATGGTAAGGATTTACAGTTTATTAATTAAATAACTTAGATATCGTGTTTGAAGAATAATTATTTCATTGCAAAAATTATCTATGATATTTATATTTTTACTTTATTCATGAAATTTCCCTGGAAAATAATACATTAAGTACCTACATATATGTAGAACGATGCTAAAATATTAAATTTAAAAAAGGGCAGTGTACAAATGCTTCACGCACGGCAACAATTTGTCGCAATGTTAAAGACGACAAATCATTAATGAATGTTTAATAATTAATCCAAGTCTATTACAAGACAAGAATACACAAAAAAATTATTTCTACAGTAACACGTATTTTAAACTACACGTAGGTCTGAGAATTATGAATAGTACTGCAAATATTCACTTAATGAAATATCTTTAGAGCTAATTAAATTTATAGCGTGATTTTAAATTTTAGAAAAGACCAACTGTTTAAAAAAGTCTATTATTAGAGAAGGAAAATTCCTTCCTTCACCATACCTAAATATATGTTTGCCATTCAGTATAACAGTATAATATTAAGACCCCCCCACCCTCGGTGCTTTTCTCTCGAAATAAAATTCTTAGTATTTTCAGTATTTAACTAATACGTGCTTAATGTGTATTGTACCACAAGAAAAACAGTCTTAAAACCAACATCAAGCAGTCATTAAACAATAGTATTTTAGAATACACTTGTGCCGACAGTAGTATTTTAAATAGGCAGGGAATATGTTTCAAACTCAATTTAAATTAATTTAACTTAATCCTTCCAAGTATATATTCCCACTATTTTTTTTTCTGCAGGAATGCAAAAATCAGATCTGAAAATGATAGGGAAAAATATTAAAACTTCTTGGAAATACTAAGTGACTGCCTTCAGCATGTTCGGTGAAACGTGATTTCCACACCTACACTGTGTCCAATGATGTCCAATTGACAGGACAAACACACATGGACTTCCTGTGAACCGTGTGAACTTGATGCCGGAAAATAAAAGCCAGTGATTACTGTCGAATGGATTTGTTAATCTTAAAAAAATATTACCTTTATTGCTTGGAATATTTAGGAAAAATAATATCCGAGATTTTAGGGTGTCTCTCTCTCTCTCTCTCTCTCGTACATATTTCTGTTCAATAAAAACTGTGACAGCACATTACTTGTTTAGCTTTGAAAATTTAATCTACTACAAATAATTTTTGAATGCCTCTTACTTTTCATCATCTTGCCGAGTATAATCACGGCCGGGAAATGTTTACATTTATACATTGTACATGTAGAAGTTACCTAAAATAATCATCATAATAGAATACAAGACACATAACTTAGAATATTTTACATTAGAATTTTTAAAAAATGAGAGGTTTTATGCAATACGTCAACAGACAATTGTGAATTCCAAAAAAAATCTGTTATTTTACTCAGAGTCACCTTGGCACAGAAATACATGTATGGTTGATTCAACCGCGTACAATGTAATTAATTCATTCTATAAGTAGTAGTTTTATCTTCTAATGTCCACGTTATTTTATAAGTGAAAAGATAAGCATATTTACTATATATATAAATAGATTAATTTTATATTTAAACTACAAATAACAAATACACATGTTTTACGGCAATTAAAATCATGTTATAAAACTATCAATTTAAATCATAGGTGAATATATGTGTAGAAAAAAAATGTTTTTATTATTTATTTATTTATCTACTGTGTATTTATATTTAAGCACCTGAAATTAGAATAAAAGAATAATTTCAATGCAAGGAAAAGATGGAGGCATTCCGAATAAATCGTTCATTTTGCGTTCACCATTCGTTCACCATTCACATTGCACTCGCGTTCGTGCACCGTTCGCGTTCTGCGTTCACACATCGTTCAGCAAGTTGCGTTCAGCGTTCGCACATCGTTCACTCACCGTTCGCTCTGCGTTCGTTCACCGTTAGTTCACCGTTCAGGTGGGAAAGTAGAACGTTTCAGGGCCTGTAGCTCTCTGAAAAAAATATAATGACAGACCAGAGAGCTGCATTGCCATCCATTGATCTACTTTAGCATGGATGTTTGTTGTTTGTACTTTATATTATGTATTTTTCTAACTCACTGTAAGTGCTGCTCTGAAAAATAATTTTGAAAATATAGACACATTGAATACGTATTCATTATTATTAGGATTTTTGTAAGTCAACCATATGATATGAATATTCAGGTCTTCTTATGGGTTTTTTTTTTTTTTTTTTTTTTTTATTTTAGGAGTCAAAGTCATTTGCCATGAACATTTTCAGAGGCATTGTAAAAACAGATCAAGTTTTTCCTTTCCCAGAGGGTAAGCATGTTCTTTATACAATGTGTAAAAATGATTGAAAATGAAATTTTCTATTAATTTTTGTTTTTATATTAAAGTGATAATTATTAACACTTACAAATAGTAAAGTCTACTTTTTACTTTTCATATTTTAGTTTGTGCAAATTGAATAACATCGGCACAGCCAGGTGTGTTATAGGACCGAAGACATCCCAAAATATGAATTCAATGCTTATATTTACATTCTCTAATTTTTTCTCATCATAATTGTTTATTTCGGTAATCTTTAATGTGAATTTAGCGGCCTTCAAAACCGGTGTGCTTTCTAGACGTAACAGCCGTTTGTGACGTTTGTGACGTTACAAAGTTAAATAACGCAAACGAACATTGCGAGGGAAAAAAGTGAAAAATTAATTTTAAATAAACATTTGTTGTATTTTTACGTTAATTTAACAGGTTTAATTTTTTTTATTAAATTGTATCAAAATAATGTACATTTGGTGTTCCTAGAGCATTGAAAATGCATATAGTTCCTACTGTGTATTCTAACGCGCGGTGACAAGGTTTCGCGTGTGTTATAGAAATTTGAACGCCATGGATTTCTAATGGATTTTATGAAGAAAATTACACTGAATGTAAATATTCTAGTTTGTGCAACATAAAGTACCTATAAAATTATCTTTTTTGTAGTGTTGGATAATGAACAAAGTGATACCTTAAAAATGCTTGTGGATCCATGTGCCAAGTTCTTTGAGGTAAGAATTGATCTCTCAATGAACATATGACTGTGTCACAGATGTAATTCAAAGTTTTACATTTTGAAAATATACTGGGTAGAACATTTGAAATTGTACATGTAAATCATGTGTTTCCTTATAAATGTGACAACAAACTAAAAGAGAAATGCTTCCATTATATATAGGAGGTGAATGATCCTCTAAAAAATGACAGCCTTGAGAAAGTGGAAGAGCCTGCTATGGAGGGATTAAAGGAGATGGGCGCCTTTGGTCTCCAAGTGCCTATAGACAATGGTAAGAAAAATGTCGTTTACACATTTATAATATAGACTAACCGTCACAAATTATAAGTCTAGATGATAAATTTAAATAGAAAGAAACTTATGTGTTCCCTATATAAAAAAAGAAGTCATTTTATCTGTTCTAATGATCAATTTGCAAAGGGTAAACTATAGTATAGATCAAATTGTTTCAAAATTGTATCAAAGCATTGATAAACTGTAGTAACATGTACATGTATAATTATACATGATAAGACAACTTGAAGATATTTGTTTTTTTCCTTTCAACAGGCGGTCTCGGCCTGACCAATACCCAGTACGCTCGATTGGTGGAAATTGTTGGGTCACATGATCTTGGTGTTGGAATCACATTGGGTGCTCATCAGGTAAATGACATAGAAGGGAGATTTAATATAAATTATCAAATCTGTAAGAAATTCTTTCAAATCTCACATGATGAGCTTTATCTTTTTGACATTGATAGGATATGATATTTATAAATACTGTTTTTATTACATTGCAGTCTATAGGCTTCAAAGGAATAATTTTGTTTGGAACACAAGAACAAAAAGACAAGTATCTCCCTGACCTCGCATGTGGTAAAAACATGGCTGCTTTTTGTTTGACTGAACCAAGCAGTGGCTCAGATGCTGGGGTAAGCTCTTCATTCAACTCCATCAACAAAGACTCAAAATAAATTGTTTAAATTAAACATTACACATTTGATAATGACTGAATTTCAATTTTTGAATGTAAATTTCAATTTTAACAATGACTTTATAAGCCTATCGTTACCTATATATATGCTGTGGTATTTATAAGATATGTATCTTATAATTACAGTCTATTAAAACCAAAGCAGTTCTTTCCCCGGATGGCAAGCACTACATCCTGAATGGCAGTAAAATCTGGATTAGTAATGGAGGGCTTGCAGAAATCTTTACTGTATTTGCTAAGGTTTGTGTGCCTGGATCAAAATAAAAATATTCAAATCATACAGATTAGCTAGGACCATGTAACCAATATATTTTTCCCCTTCCTGATTATAGACACCTGTCAAGGATGAGAAAACTGGTGCAACAAAGGAGAAAGTGTCTGCCTTCATTGTGGAACGGTCTTTTGGAGGTGTTTCCAAGTATGAGCATTATGTATTTTCTCTTTAATTGTACTTTAGAAAAATGACAGAAAACTCTGTAAGAAAGTAACAGAAATGACAGAATGTATTATTGCCTGAGAATCTGTTATAATTGATGATAGAAGTGTTGTATAGATTTGACACTGACATTAAGTGGGTCTTTCTTATAACAGTGGACCTCCCGAGAAAAAGATGGGAATCAAAGCCTCCAACACAGCAGAGGTGTACTTTGAGGATTGCAAATTTCCTGTAGAAAATCTTCTTGGAGGTAAAATACAATGTATTTTAATAATTCTAAAAGGGAAAAAATGTTAATGAAGTGAATGAATATCTGTAAAATGCAAGTTGTTTACCATATAAGTGATTTGTTATGAAACAAAAAAACTTGAGAACAATATATTATCATGTTTATAATTTCTGATGCTTAAGTTTGAACCTTTGAGACTTTTATTTCAATTAAGTTGTAAGTTAGTACAATGAAAATTTAACAATCAAACAAATCAACATGTGAACTGAACAATTAATATAATGAACAAGCAAAAAATAAACTTTGAGAACCACTATTCCTGATGTAATTTGTAAGAGTTGTTTACCTTTTATTGACATCTATTTCTTATTCACAGGAGTTGGAGATGGATTCAAGGTTGCCATGAATATCCTGAACAACGGAAGATTTGGTATGGCAGCTGCTCTGTCAGGAACCATGTCATCCTGTATCAAGAAAGCTGTAAGTATACCGCTACATGTAAAACTGTAAACCTATTTTTATACATAAACAGCTATTATTCACAATTTGTAAAGTTAAAATTTATCTGTAAATACTTTCTTCCCAACTGATAACTAATTGTATATAAATTTCAGTGAAGTAGAAAAGATAGGGAGAGAAATATTCTTGAGTTAAAAAGATCATGAAACTTAAAAATAATTCTCGCTTTGGAATAAAAGATTACAGTAAATTATGAAGGATGTTGAATTTGTTTATTTACGATTATTGATGCTTTGTTTTATTTTTTTCCTACATATTTAATTAAATACACTCTAGAAGAAGAAGATTTCATAAAAAAGCAATGATCAATTTTTACTCTCTGACAGGTTGAACATGCGTCTCAGAGGAAGCAGTTTGGGGATCTGATCAGTAACTATGGCGCGATACAGGAGAAGATTGGCCGTATGGTGATAATGCAGTACGTCACGGAGTCCATGGCTTACATGCTGTCTGCCAATATGGACCAAGGGTCAACAGAATTCCAGATAGAGGCTGCCATCAGCAAGATTTATGCTTCAGTATGGATTTATAGCTTACACTTTAAATGAATAAATGTTGATGTACTACATTCTGGAAGATAGGGATATGAAAGTGATTATTATATTATCCAAAACATAGTTATGTAACACTCTGATTTAATTTACAGGAAGCAGCATGGTTTTGTGCTGATGAGGCAATCCAAATTTTAGGAGGAATGGGATATATGAAGGTTTGTATAGAAATACAGTTTAGAATATTTTTGTATCTAATGTTGTAGTTATAAATACATAAAGACATGGTTATTGAGTGTAAAAAGTTTAAACAGTTGTCTTGGTTTTGTTCATTGCAGGACTGTGGCTTGGAGAGAGTGATGAGAGATTTAAGAATTTTCCGAATTTTTGAAGGAACAAATGACATTCTCAGACTTTTCATCGCTCTTACTGGAAGTCAGGTATTAAAGATCATTGTGTATGACACGAAAGCAAAAAAAAAATAAAAAAACTTAAAAATTAATATAAAAGAATGACATTCCCCTCACATTAATTATTGAATTCTGTATTATAAACAATGTGCACCAAAAGAATTATTTTTACAGTATGCTGGAAACTACCTCAAAGAACTTAAGAAAGCCATGTCCAATCCCTTGGGTAACATTGGAATGTTCTTGGAGTATGGAAGCAAAAAAGTACTAAAGTAAGAAACAAGTTCCTTCATAGAATCTTGATGTGATTAGCTATTAATAATATTTGTAAATTGATCAGGACTTCTAACAATTATTCATTGAATATTTAACTTTATTACTTACCTTTAACATTTATGAATTGTCCTTGTAACTACGTGAATATAACCTTTGCAGGTCAAAGGCTGATGATAATGGAGCTAAAGCTCTTATCCATCCTTCACTTATGAATTCAGCTGACCAGGTAACAAGTGAAATTAGCATTTTGTAATTGAAATTTGTTATGGTTTACATAATTTAGCATGTTTAGATTTGTTTTATTTTTGATTCTATTTCAGACTTTTGCTGCTATTGGTGATTTTGGATCTACTGTAGAACAACTTCTTATGACCCATGGCAAAAATATCACCAGTAAGATATGTTTTTTTTGCTTCAAATTTTTATATATGAAGATAAAATGAAATGGATGTTAGAGAATTAAAAGTGATTGAGTGTGATTGATAACTGAAGTTGATTAAATTGATAAATGCATGAGCTTTATGTAAAAATGATGAAAAAGACTTGTTAGTATTACATGTATATTTAGTTAAGTGTAAATATATGAGGAACCAACGAGCTTGATTGAATTCTGTTGTACATTTCAGACCAGCAGTTCCTTCTCAAGAGGGTTGCTGACTCAGCCATTGATATCTATGGCATGGTTTCTGTCCTCTCAAGAGCGTCAAGGTCACTCAAAGAAGGACACAGTTCTGCTGACCACGAGGCAACTATTACCAAAGTATTCTGTAATGAGGTACATGTAATTCACTTTTAAACTGATTAGCATGTGTTTATATAGTCATGCTAAACCTATTTATACGAATATTTTTCAAATAAAAATTTTCAAAGTTTCAGACAAATCTTTAAGATTTACAATGTGCATTTATTCACAGGCCAAAGCTAGAGTTGATGCAAACCTATTGGCTTGCCATGCGACAAAGGGTGAAAAGGAAAATTTCAATGGGCTGGAGAAGATTTCCAAAGATGTGGTGGCCCACGGAGGATTACTACAGAAACATCCTCTAGGATTCTAGGACATGACGTTGTACGGCCATCAGGGAGGACAAGTTTAATACAATGCACTGTTACAGCATTTATCTCAACTCATCTCTTGTTTTATTCATCACAGAAAACATATTTAAGTGACTTTAAACAAGATACTTGTTATTTTATTGAAGAACAACTCTTCTTTATCCTTATGTAAATGAACATGCTTATGATTGAACTATATTTTTAGTTTAAGTACATGTAGTAAGGATTGCATACATTTGTTATTATTTTGCTGATTGGATTCTTCCTCTGTGACATTGAGATGATTGTCTTTCACATTCTGTAAGGAGCTGTGGTTTTATTTACCTCATCATATACAATATAAAGCCCTCATACATGTATAATTGAAGTTTCAATAATTTGAAACTTGTTTCCATTATGTAGATCTTGAAAATAACTGTGATAAGAATTATTTCATTCGCTGGTGATGAATGTTTCATTTTTTTTATATTAATGGTATATTTTGTGAGAAAGGTACATTTACAGCATCTTTACATATCTGTATTTGTAAGATTTTTGTAATTTTCTTTTTAGTTGTTAGATCATATGTAGACTTATTTGAACAAGGTAGATTATGCTAGTACACATGTAGTCTTCATATAAGTAGATTTGATTTCAATTTGTTTCTGTTAGTACATGTAAGTGTATTTTTTCTGAAATTTTTTTTCTTTGAAAGAGGAAAAAATATAATTGTCCAATACCATGCGTAATTAGTTTTTAAAAAGGATATTAAATTATCAAAAGAGTAGAAGTCCTAAGTAACTTGCCACATTAGATAATGTAAATATCTATTGGAAAATGTGTGAACAGTGAGTGCATGAATCTCAGGATGAGGCAGTGAGAAAGAGCCATAATATCTGTGTACACTCAATCAAAATTTTCTGCAATGCCCAGCAATGCAATTTGTAATATAAGAGTTTTTGTGCAGGATTTTAGAACAAAATTGTAAATTCTTACAGCAGAAAGTTAATAAGCTGAGAATGAATGTTAAATGTTTGAATGTGGCATCACTTTGATTTACCACTAGAAGTTTGTTGTGTTGGCACTCTGATATCTAGGGCAATAAATATTGGGTTTCTTAATCAGTTGTTTAAAGTTTAATTTGGTGTAAATAAATTTTCTAGCAAAAATTCCTTAGTATTGTTTTAACATATATTTTTATATATGAAGCTCCAGTGAGCATTTCTGACCACACTGTAAGTTCTATCAGTCTGTTGGTCTATTTATTTAACTTTATTTTAAACTTTTTCTCTGAAATCACAACACCATTTTCAACCAAAGAAGGATAATAAATTTTATTTGCATTTGGCAGGAATCTGAGTGCTTTTGAAAAATGAGAATTTAAACTTTATTCAGTAGATTTCCAAATTTTATAAACCGGTACTTAAGTACATGTGGTTGCAATTTAATAAGGTATTTCGATTTAACTTTTGTTAAGATGCATAGCTTTGTAATATCTGGTCGTCTGACCAAATATTGGACATTTATACTTTAAATGTTTTGTACACCCGATTCCTGCAGACTGCAAACCAAAACACCCATCTTTTTTATACCAAGACTGAGTTAAGGGGACAAGTCATCTATATACTATAGTCATTAAAAATTCTTAAGAATCCATGGGCCAGAAAGATGGAATTTTATAAAAATCTGTTAAACATAGAGACATACATTGTACAAAGAATTTTTTTCTTCTCTAGAAGTTCATTGGTGAAGGAGGGAATATTTAACAATGGCAAGAGAGAGAGAATCATTTGATCTTATATCAAGGGGCCTGATACCAGTACATGAAAAAAAAATATCAAACAACATGCAGTCATATATATATTTAATTAAAAAAAGCTTCTGACAATATTTAAAACGGCATTTCTAAGAAATATGCATACAAATTGATGACAAGTGATGAGAAGTCTTTGTTCTAGCATAGTCAGTAACATTTAGTTTTAGTGTTTTCTTTTGGTTCTGACTCCCACAAAATTAGTCCAGATTACTTTTTTTTCCCGAAAGAACAAATAATTAAGATAGAGGAGAGATAACTTCGTGCTGATTCGCAGTCTGGTGTCCAAAGTCAGTTACGTTATAAAGCAAAATTACTCGCAACGTTAGAAATTGAAATTCAACGAGCGAAATAATTTCCTTTGGATCCTCTTCAGCGTAATTCCATATTTATTATTGTGTTTTGAAGTCAGTTGTTTATGAAATTTTAAAGTCATAGAAGCAAGATCGGTTTCGATCAATATTTAATAACACGATGATATCTCGTCAAGTGAACTGAGGCAAAAGGAGGAAAGATAGAGAAGTAATGACGTTGTCACAATGAAATAGTAAAATGTTTACAGTATGAAGCTGATTTTTTCAACACTTACTGAATTTTTTTGTTTTAAGTTCTTTTAAATATTTTTAGCAGTGTGAATATCATGGCATCAATATGCAGGAAAACCCTCCAATACACAACAATTTTTCTAAAATATAATTTAAAAAAATCAAATCCAAACATACCAATGATCATGGAAAAAAAATTAGTATGATATGCTATCACATGTAGAACAATACAACGCATTTTACGTTTGTGAATGAAATTTAATGAACGTATACGTACAAAATGAAATATGCATGTTAGCTGGATTTATTTTTAGATATTTACATTCGCTGTGTTTTTCTCCAACTATGAAATTGATTTTAAAACCATTTTCGTGTATACTCACGCGTAGAAATATATACGGAGAAACATGCGTTAACGTGACGTAGCGACGTTAGTAAAAGTACAACGATATAGGGCAGCAAGAAAATCAAATATTGAGTATATTATTGGTGCTTCCAAACATGTAAAATGTAAATATAAGGAATGTTTTTAAGTTTAGTGTGAATTATTGGTGTGTGAATCACACAGACTTGCACGTATAGGCATATTTTTCATGACGTCGCATAAAGCAACTTCAAAATATCGCAACGTTATCGTGCACCATGCTTCCATTACATTATATAAAACAAATAAAGCGATGTGCAGGCTATATTGTACCATAGGACTGGCGGTAAATTTAGATTTTGCTTTGATGTTGCTGAGGTGTATCACAGTTAGCCACGCCCACTTTTTGGCATCACGCCATACTGTAATGAGACCTTGATTGATGAATGAATGATGTTAATTTCCGGGCAGACATCGGCAATGGCTGATGAATGAATGAAGACAACATTTTTAATTAAAAAAAAACTTACATTAACTTTCCAAAATTCGCCTCGTAATTTAATTTTCCGTATGTTTTCTATGCGTTTCCTTATTCAGTAAATTTTCGTTCTATTTCGAACTCTCGTCTTTCCATTTTCTTTCTCCAAGTTCATATAGCAATTAAATATCAGACGTCCCTAGCTGCGTTTTTTAAAAACTTCAAATAGCATTTCAAACTTTTATTAAAATGTCAGAAATCATTTCATAGTGTCTATTAGGGACCTTTATACTCGAAAGCAGGCGCCGATCTAGAAATTTTTCGGGGGGGGGGGGGGGGGGGGGTGAAGAATTTTTCAAGGGAGAGGGGTTGAAGGAAAAAAAACTTATTATAACGTACGTTTTACACATACATGTAGTTTAAAATAACTCATTAGGAATTAAGGTTGTTAATAATAATAACAATAAATAGAATAATGATCCTTAATTGAAAACTTGTTTCAATTACCTGAAATTTTTTTAAAAAGAAAGGAAAGTATGATATACCCCCGAACCCGAAAATCCTATTTGTAAAGGTGGGTGGGATTTCATTTTGTTATATATTACAACATTAGCCAGGTCTGGGCGGCCTCCGTTTTTAGCTCTACTGGTCAGAGACCAGAAGAGCTTATGCGATAGTAATGCGTCCGTCGTCCGTCCGTCTGTCTGTCTGTCTGTCTGTCCGTCTGTAAACAATTTTTCAAAATGCTACTCCTCCTACAGTTTTGGTCTGATTTCAATATAACTTGGCACACAAGTAGACTACACTAAGATACATAATTCTGTTTATCGGTTTTTGATTTGGATGAACGGTGTTGTCGTGGTTACTAAAAATAGAAATTTCTTAAAGATTTTCTTTCAAAATGCTACTTCTCCTACAGTTTTGGCCTGATTTCAATATAATTTGGCACACAAGTAGACTACACTAAGATACATAATTCTGTATATCGGTTTTTGATTTGGATGAACGGTGTTGCCGTGGTTACTAAAAATAGAAATTTCTGTGAAATTCTTTCAAAATGCTACTCCTCCTACAGTTTTGGTCTGATTTCAATATAACTTAACACACAAGTAGACTACACTAAGATACATAATTCTGTGTATCGGTTTTTGATTTCGATGAACGGTGTTGCCGTGGTTACTAAAAATAGAAATTTCTGTGAAATTCTTTCAAAATGCTACTCCTCCTACAGTTTTGGTCTGATTTCAATATAACTTGACACACAAGTAGAACACACTAAGGTACATAAATCTATTTATCAGTTTTTGATTTCGAAGAACTGTGTTGACGTGCTTCTAAAAATAGAAATTTCCGTGAAATTCTTTCAAAATGCTACTCCTCCTACAGTTTTGGTCTGATTTCAATGTAACTTGGCACACAAGTAGACTACACTAAGATACATAATTCTGTATATCGGTTTTTGATTTCGATGAACGGTGTTGCTGTGGTTACTAAAAATAGAAATTTCTGTGAAATTATTTCAAAATGCTACACCTACTACAGTTTTGGTCTGATTTCAATATAACTTGGCACACAAGTAGACTACACTAAGGTACATAATTCTGTGTATAGTTTTTCACTTCAATGAACGGTGTTGCCACGGTTACTAAAAATAGAAATTTCTGTTTAATACACTCAAAATGCTACTCCAAATACAGTTTTAGTCTGATTATAATGTAATGTGGCATGCAAGTAGACTACACTAAAACATAAAGAGACTAAATCAAGGATCATTTTTCTATTAATTGCTGTTGAAAAGTTTCAATTCCCAACTGCCTAAGTACTTTTCTCTTCTTTTGCTATAAGTACAAACCAGTAGAGCTTCAGTCTCGACAGAGACTTCTGGTTGGAGGATAGCTTGATTCAATATGGCAGCCATTTTTTAGCTCTACTGGTCAGAGACCAGAAGAGCTTATGCGATAGTAATGCGTCCGTCGTCCGTCCGTCTGTCTGTCTGTAAACAATTTTTCAAAATGCTACTCCTCCTACAGTTTTGGTCTGATTTCAGTATAACTTGGCACACAAGTAGACTACACTAAGATACATAATTCTGTGTATCGGTTTTTGATTTTCATGGGTGGTGTTGCCGTGGTTACTAAAAATAGAAATTTCTGTGAAATTCTTTCAAAATACTACTCCCCCTACAGTTTTGGTCTGATTTCAATATAATTTTACACACAAGTAGACTACACTAAGATACATAATTCTGTGTATCGGTTTTTGATTTCGATGAGCGGTGTTGCCGTGGTTACTAAAAATAGAAATTTCTATGAAATTCTTTCAAAATGCTACTCCTCCAACAATTTTGGTCTGATTTCAATATAACTGTGATTACTAAAAATAGAAATTTCAGTTAAATACTCTTAAAACGCTACTCCAAATACAGTTTTAGTCTGATTATAATGTTATATAATTTATTGCTGTTTTAAAGTTTCAATCCCATCTGCTTAGAAGTACTTTTCTCTTCCTTTGCTACAAGTACAAACCAGTAGAGCTTCAGTCTCGACAGAGACTTCTGGGTTTTTTTTACCATATATGGAAACCGCAATGGTTTATCTTCTGATTACAGAGGATAACACAGGTAATTTTCAATTTTCAAACGCCTCGTGCCTACCTTTAATCAAAAAGTGCAAGCACCAGAGTACAATTTAATGAAAGATCGAACAATATATTATCGATTGTATATGGCGATTTGAGATTCTATGTCTACAATTTTTACAATACGCGTTCAAAGTTGGCACTTGATTTGAACATATTTTATTGTAATATAATTACAAAGGGATTGAGCACAAGTACTGAATACTTATAACGCCCTTTCCCTATACATGTAAATTACACATTTATATTGTCACAGTTAAACATGCTATATAAAGTATTCAGAATTTGCAAACGTAAACAAAATGATGCATTTTGCATATATGTATGAATATATA